GGACTGTTGATTGGCCAAACATGTTTTTTGCCATTCCAATTTTCGGAGTTAATTATTTTCGGTATAGGTATTTTTCGAGAATATAAGTAAATAGTAAGGAAGAGCTTAGTTACCATAGGTCGATTTCATACTAGTTTGATTGGCATATAGTTCACAGCATTACTGTATATTACAAAAAGTACACACTTTCCCATTAAACTTAAATGAATAATGATGCCGAGCCAGGTCAACATCTAGGAACCAGCCAGAACCTTCTACAAACATCGGGCAAATAATTATGCAGATAAAATAATGAAGGTCATGGCATCTGCTTGCGCTTGATAAGGACGTCTACTCTCTTAGGCTATGATATTACACTCCTTCACTACTCGATGCTCTTCGCTTTCGTTTGCAATTCATTCTGTCCTATACGTGCTCTGGTGTGATTCCTTCTCATTCCACTACACAGAGTGGATATTATAAATTCCAGCACAGAACATATTTTAGGGTTATATAATAAAACTTAAAAAAACCCTTATTTGCTTTGTGCTTGCTACACCACTACATCAAATATAGCCGATACCCAACCTCTTTTCTTTGGTACCATCAATGCCACATTCCCTGGCTTTAACAGATATAATCCACAAATCTATGGGAACTTACTGATTTCTTTTTGAAACACACCATATCCCAAGTGATAAGTCGATTTCCCTTTAGTCTTTAATAATCTGCCAGATTGCATCCTCAACCTTGTCCACACGTATTGCGGAACAAATGAGGACCGGATTGTTATGAGAAACTCAAACCTTATATCACGAGGTTTTCCATCTTATACAGGCAGAGTTTTTGCTGACCGGAAACACTAACTACTACTGGCCCATCTTTGGTAGCATGCCGGATCCTCCTCCGATCGTGACCTTATCCTAAGGTACCTATGGATGAGTTAACTCCGTATATATATAAATTTGGCTTCGAAAGCTACCAGGGGGCAATCTCTGAAAGAAGCTGCTAATATTACAGATGAAATGTTGAAGGTACTCATCCATAGCATAAGACTTCTCCTACCATCAAAGACAAACGACTAAAATAATCCGAAACAACGAGATTGAAGCCATTAAAGTTTCTACAGACTACGTAACTGCAGCTAAACGAGCAGTCCTAACCCATAAAGCCCACGTTGAGATCTTGGACACACTCAACTTCGCGGAAGAACTATTCTAGCCCTCATTTATAATGTTGGAAGCACATAAGGTTCTCGAGCTTATGACCGTCCTTTAGGGTATACGGCATAACTACCATAGAGAATTTAGGTTGTCTGTATGGCCGGTTAATTAGTAAGCTTTTCAAAACTCACACCCGACTTTTTCTCATCTAACACAAAAGAGCAAAGCTAAAGTATCTTGTAAATACAGATTCGGAGGTTATTCTTCTAACTGCTTCGAATGGTGACAAAATACACATAGATTCATTGCTCTCTCTTGTTCCAGCAAATAGGACGGAAACCAAAGCATGCAGCATAGATGAAATACATATCGACCAAGGACTTAAACGGTTTCTTGAAGGAACTTTCCTCAGTCAATTTTTTTCTCTATATTCTCGGAATAGATTTCCTCAGTAGTCACCAACTTTAAGTTGACCTTGTGAATTATCGCATTACCGAAATATCATTAAACAAAAGGATTCATGGCAACTTGATTCCAGCGCTTCTTTCTTGTCATATCTCAGTGGTACAGTTTAGAACATGCTCCTCTCTTACCAAACCAATAGTGCACGATGGCGTAGCAAACCACATTGTGACTCATCATGTTGTGAGAAATGGCTCAAAACAGTGAACTCTGTATTCTACTATTTAATGGACGCCAACATTGTTCTTCCCTCAAAACGTCAAAAGGCGTATTAACTTCGCATGGCCCCGAATAAAGAAAATTGATAGGGATCCTGTAAAGAGCTAGAAGATTCAATTCTTCTAAACGCTAGATTGCTTTTTTCTCCCTCAATTCAAGATTTTACCTTATAATCAGAAGGTAGGACTATCTTTTTAAAGATTGATCTCACGACTGCTTTATACCAGATATAGATAAGGCCATCTCACGTATGTAAAAATGCAGTTACTAATAGTTATGGTCTAGTTCGATTCACGAGGATGTTTTTTATTTAAAAAACACAGCGCAAACTTTTAAACGTTTAGTAAATGAGATGATTCTAAGCTTAAATGGCATATTTGTTTATAATGATGACGTTCTCATCACCAACAATGATATCGTTAAGCATAAGCAGACCCTGGCAACTCTGTTTGTAGGACTAACTAATCGGCATGTGGTGATTGCTCCGCAAAGGATCTATTGAAAATTTCTGTATTATATTTCCCTAGTTATCACATCAATATTTAAGAAATGCTCCCAAGCCATGAAAAACTTAAAAACTAAAAATATCTCTTTTTTACGTGTCGTAAAGTCCTCAAGTTCTGTTCTTAACATGGTGAATTTTTATCGTCGACTTGTCGCTAACTGTACTGATATACCGAGTCAAATTGAGGAATAGTTAAAGACCAGAAAAGTGCCCTTTTAAAGACTCGAAAAGAAACTTTTCGCTAACCAAGACAGCGCTGGCAAACGCTGATATATTAGCACATTAAAATCCGGAGGCATCGTGCTACTCTTGTGGACAAATGTATATGCCAAAGCGTTAGGTGGTTTACTATATTAGGTAATGGATAGAGCGCCGTACCCTCTATCCTTCTTTCTTTGCAAATTACATCCACTAGACTAACTTTATGAACATTTTGGCCCTGAACTCCTAGCGATGCATTACTCATCAGTACAGTTTGCACACATGCTCAAAGGAAAACAAGTCTGAATTTTGACGAATAACAAAGTGCTTTATGGACTTACTCAGACAAATACTTACCCCGTGAGACCTGCCATCTTGACTACATTTAGCAATTCACTGACAAAGTGCACGATAAAAGGAGTCCAGAATATGCGTGCATAGACGCAGGGCTATAGCAGAGGCTCAGAAGCCCGAATACAGTCGAGGCATATTAGGACCCTGACCATTACATGAGCCTGTCTCAGCAAGGTTCAACCATAACCAGATAGATTTTTTCAGTCCTCTTTTGCCTTAATAAAACAGCTACCTACTTACAACTACAGGCTGACTTACAAAGTTCAGAGATCGCTACCACTTTTGAACTTACAAGCAGAGACCGTTACCAAAGCTGGGTTTACGGGTTTGGCACATCTTCAACTACTATGGACGACAGAGGAGAGTTTCAGTCCGACCTGTCACCAAGCAATCTACATAATTAGGAACGAGGATTAGCATTTATGCATATCCTCTGCAAGCTAATGGTCCGTAGGAAGTTTCTTACTCTATTTAGACAAGTGCAAATGGTGCTAGAAGAAGCCTGATAGCTAGACAAATAGGATGGAAAACCACGCAAAATCCCACTTAGGCCAGCCATCTGGAATTCAGCAGTGCAGCACACAAATGCGTACACACCAGACGAATGTTTATTGCCACCACCCCTTTTACTTAATCTCCTAAGGCAACAAACACTTCATCTTCTAGGTCAGCTAAAGATAATAAGTGCAGACAAAGTCAAGCCAGCAATGAATGAGGACAATGAACCCGTCACGAATACAAGAAGAAAACGACCTCCACACATCATATAGAGTTAAGGCAGAGTAGATTTCGCCCGTGAAACCTTCTATTATATTCTCCTTCCCTTCATTAAGATTTTTGAGATCACACCTTAAGGGCAAGCCAATGTGGAGAGGAAGGAGCATTTTACCGAATCTTCCAAATCCTTTTCTTGACTCGTTAGCTTAAACTTTGTTGTGACGATGTTACCTCGCTCTGATGATGCCCTTCATATGATGGACGAAAGCTTAGCACTTTTTCACCGGAATCGAAGGAGATTGCCTCGGAAACGGCGTCAGCATGAATCTTCCAGTAAAGCCAATCGACAGCTGGTCAAGAGGAATCCGCCTCGTCTTCTGATGGAACTGACCTTCGAATCTCTTCACCCAACACTTTCACTCGAAATGGAAATAAGCTCAAAAATTATGAAAGAAGAGATTCCTCTGAACCCAACTTTTCTTCGCCTTTTAAATACATCATTTAGCCTTATTACAGAACAGCTAGCTAAAAGCCGCATTTACCATGACCCATCCAAGACTTGAACACAAAATCGTTTGATTAGACATACCTAATAGATCACGTCAAGCCAGACTATAATTAAAAAACAAATCACAAGTTGATACATACATATTTAACAATTAACTAGTGGAGAAAGAATGATTTGGTGATCACTCCAAAAAATGAATTTTCAGCCTTTTCACATTCCCTCGGTTATCCCATCAATAAACACGGAATACTGCCAAGTCAGGAATACACGAAATGATACAACACCTTGACAATTTATACATTGGGACCTGCCCTGAAACCAAGAGGACAGATAAATGATTGGAGAATGTGGTGCTGAGGCTATATAGGCCCTTATTAACCATGATGGCACTGAAAATATGGGCTTGGCTAAACATTAAAATGTGGTTTTACCCAGACTTGTAAAGGGAATGCAAAATGATTAATGGATTAGCTTGGATAGAACAAAATGGACTTTAAAACGAAAACGATGTCGGTGTGTAACTTCGGTGCGAAAGTGCAGTATTAGGAAACAGAAGTGGCCGAAAATGTCCAAGACGTTTTCTGCTTAAAATACTATTTGAATACACTTTGTGTGCTTTGAATGCCATATTCTGATTGGTGCAGCAGAAAGACTTGATGCGCTGGCTAGTTTCGCTTAGTTCCCGCTGGACAGTGTAGATAGGCCATGCTCGGTGTGGTGGTACAGATGTGTCGAGGGATGAGGGGGTACTTAATGACAAGGCAGATGATTTTAGCAAAACTATGAATGTAAAGTATAACTATGACAAGAAAGCTTTCTGTAGCAAAGCGG